ATACGGGAAACCAGGTTCGTCATCGGTGCTCCCAGGCGGCGCCGTCTTGCTAGTGCATGGAGGTAGTCAGGGGGGTGAGGGAATAGCGAGTGCGGGAGGAAGCTGCACGCTCACAATATTATTTGTCCGGTAGAAGAGTCGAAAAATGCTTCAGTCCGAATAGTTTCTACCGCTGACGGAGTTGAAGTATTTGATACTTCCAACCTCTGTTGTCTCCAGCTCACATTATCTGACACCTTCCGCTCACTCTCCCCTCGAAAAATGCTCCTTCAATTCTATACAATTTCTACCTAGGCATACACAATTAGTCGGGCCATCCATAGCTGCTGGTCCCAATCAACGTGATTAGTGCGACCCCACAAGCGCTCGGTCGCCTAGATCACGCGTTGACCTTTGACCAACCGTCATGACCAGTCAAGCTAGTCAAAATCGGTCATGGCTTCGGTCATGACCGCGGTCAAAACAACGCTGGGGCAAAGTGGCGCGCCTACGTCCCGGGAAGCCGGGGCGGCCCGGACCCATTGGGTGAGCGCGATTCGAGACGCTGTGGCTCTCAACACACCACCATCATCAACTCGTAAGGCTGGGAGAGCCGTCAGTGACGCGTAATCCATCGTCGATGGTTCCTGCACCCGTCTCGAGTTGAGGTTGCGGAGGAGGCAGTCGGCGACAGTGAAGGTGGGAGCGGGGCGCGCATCAGCCTGCATCAGCCTCGCAAAGCGATACCACCTGACGGGCTCCCGAGGGTCTTCATGCGAATCGTGCATCGTGCGATTCAAGGAAGAAGGAATCGTAGGTAAACTGTAGTCTATGTCCTCTCATACATGGTTCTCATCACCTGCCGTCTACCATGAGCGTCCGCTGCTCCTATACCTCGACTACTACGCCGATCTTCTCCGAGGAGGACAACCCTTCGTTGACTTGCTCTGGGCCACCCTGGTCGCCTAATTCGACTGCAGAGATCATGCTGTGCCTTGTTCCCATGCTCTCCACCGCAGAACGACCAAATATGAGGGTGCTGGCGGTGGCAGGCCCAGGTCCAGTGCCGCTTTCCTCGTTGGCCTGCGAAACTCCATGCTCGATTGGCGATCGCCTCATGGCAACGAGCAGAGTGATGATTGTGGGGTAAATCGCCTGCAGAGGTGATGAGTACTCCTCAATAACTAAGACGAACGATATGGCACACTTACGGCTATGGGTAAGAGGCATCCATCGGCAAAATACCACCCGATCTTGTCGAAATCACTCGCGCTGCTCGTGATCACAAATGGCCGCTTGAGTTGGTACACAACGAGGAACATCTGCAATTCATCACGACCTCATGCATGAGCTTCCAGCCGATCCCAAAAGCGAAGATCACCACTTACCAGTAGCGCACAGTAGATAGTGCCGGACTCGACAAGCAGAGCGAGAGCTTTCCATGTACTCGTCGTGCTCCCATCCGAGCTGAAGTACTTCTTCACCATGCGTCTGTACTCCCTAGGTGTGACTCAGAGGTCAGGTAAGCCTGCTGATGAAGGGTCATTGGAGACACGCACCACGCTTTGTAGGCAATCAAAGAGGTTGCAAGCATGTTCACGGACATGGATAAGATCAAGAACGCATCCGCAAAGCCGCCCAGACTAGTTAGCAGATGGAGTTGTACGTAGGGGATTGATTTTGATTGATGGACGCTGATGACGCCAATCACTAAGGTTGAATGTGAGATATGACTTCTGCCCGAAGATGGCACACGACGAACCTAGGGTTAAAGCCAAGAGGAGGGGCCCGAGGAAGTAGATGACTCTCTTGCGCCATACGACGCAGGCTCGCCACCACACAATGGCATCTCCGATTATGATCTGCTCGGAGGTGGGCAGGTGGGGATCAGGAAGAGAATAGGAGAACAGAGTAATGTACTGACGTTAGTACCCGTTGTCATCGTCATCATCCATGATTGTATCTCGACGACATGCTCAAAGGAAGCGACATTACCACTCGCGTCGTACGTCGTGGATGTCAAGCCCTTTGTGGCGTCCAGCACCAGTTGGCTGACACGTAAACGTTACCATACCAGTGCGCACATATAGATGCTCGTTGAGGAATACAAGAGAAGGGTACTGAGAAACAAAAATGCCACTGATATCCGAGACCGTAACCCCTGGCGACTATAGTATACGCATCAGCGACTGTAGTATTAGGTGAGACCAAATAACGACTTGCACAAGGAAGATGATGGCTACAGTCACCAGCGCCGTCAAAATGCCTGATATCTGGTGAGCCATGGTTTGATGATATTGAAGGGTACGACTCACCGAATGATAGACTTGCCACGAGTAACTGGATGCTGGACTGGCTTCCGCTGCTGGCAAAATATAGAGAAACTGTCAGGGCGAAGTCGTTAACCTCAACGGAACGAGGCACGAGGGCAGTCGAGGCATATGGAGACATTCTTCCGAATACAAGACAGCTGCGATGAGCTTAAAGAGGGCGAGAGAAATAGTGCAGGAACACGAACGGTTCTGTCACTAAGTATGGAGGCTGGCCCCGATTGAGATCGGCGTCACATGCCAACCCCACCCTGGTAGAAGCTCGGCAGAAATAGTCTTGAAAGATCGTGTGCATCTCGGGGACTTGTCCGATGCGAAGAGTCTCATCCATGCTTCGAGAACTGGAGTATGAATCCATCATATCCCTGTCGAGGATACCGCAGTTCAAACGTGGGATGTTAATTGAGTGTTACTTACCCCTGGCCGACTCGACTGGCGAAGCCGGTTATACTGCGGCAAACAGAAGGGACAAAAGCCAGAGAGCCCCTGGCTGTACATAACAGCCAATCGCCTGGCTGGGTCTTCATGATAAGCTCATAGCCTGAAATATCCACGTCACATACATCAGACAGCTGCCGCCGCTGCCTCAATTCTAAAGCCAATACCAGATCGTTGGTCGTTTCTGGTGTCGGACTCGGATCTTCTGTAGAAGGTGTCACTCTCGCGCGCGCCGAGTGAAAGCAGTGATACTTCCACCTGTTTTCAGGGGTCCTCGTTTAGGTTCATAACTCGGAGATGCGCAAATGGCATCGTAGCGAACAGGATCGCACACTGAGATGCATTGGACGAATTCTGATGCGATCCGAGGGCTGCAGCCTTTTCCCTCTCGTGTCAGCCCAACGACGAGGAGAGCCCCCAGTGCTGCCGGATGGGTGATCTCCAAGGATGAGTGAGATGGTATTGAACATCCTATCTTGGCAGGGGCCACTATGGAACGGATATGATATCGTGAGAGAAGGTACCCGAACAGGTCACTTTTACTAGTGTTCAGCGAGACCCTCTTGCTGCGCCGTCTGAGCAATGATACAGAGCCCTAGGAGACGCTAAGAACAGGAGATTCCTAACGCACCTGATGCAGCTAAGAAATGCCTTTGTGGTTGTTGATCGTGGCGGCCGAAAGGAGAAGCCCTGTTCGGTGAGGATTTCCTGGAAGATGTTGCAAGTGTTAGATTGTGTATTGGTGAGAATCAGCATAATTAGTTAACTTCGTCGTACCTTGCATGCCTCTGAATCCAAGACAAGTTGCCTCTACGAGCGGCGGGATCTCGGGCGATCAGTTTGAACCTGCATCGGAGGTAAGCGGTTCATCCCGGACTGACCGACTGTATGCTATCCGACGACATTCCTCGGGAAATTTCCACTCTTTTCTGAGAGCGAATGGCAGAACACAGAAGGAATGGGAGGATCAGATAGAACGGAGTCACCACACTCTGATGAGGCCGCGCGTTGACACGTGTGGCTGAGGGACAGGCGCCGAAGAAGCTGCCTCTGGCGCCGGCGTCCAAACTTGGTTAACTTGGCACTCCTTGTCAGGGCTCCACTCATACCAAGCTCCCAGAACCATCCATCACACAGGAGACCCGGAAACTACACATGAATAGTCATCTCTGGTACAACATTGAAGACATCGTATACCAAGTATTCGAGTTGCTGCGAGTGGACGTCGTGTATACCAGTGTGCGGCCCGAGGACGCGACCCTATGTCGTCAAGCGCTTGCTCGGTCGGCTCGGTCCTGCAAGGCTTTCGCTTCTCCAGCACTAACAATCCTATGGAGATCTCTGCCCAGCGACCAGCCTTTACTTGAGCTACTGTATATCCTTGGCATTGTGGAGAGCTCATCCGACTACGCTCCCACAGCGTACAACACCGGCATCGGTCTCAGCGATACGCCTATCAATCTTCCTGTGAGTGTATACTTTGCGTGATCGAGGCGCCGCTTTGACATCTACGCGCATCGCAGGTCTTGAGCGTCCAGGAGAATGTAAGAGCACACCCTCAGTGGCAACATTTCTTGCGGCATGCTTCCCATGTTCGTCAGATCAGATTAGACCCCTTCAGGTCGTCCGCGGGCTCAGCTATCTGGCCAGAGATAGCGTTCTCCATGGACGGTATCCCGATATTACCTCGACTCACCTCGGTCTACGTGACTTCCATATTCTCACCATTGCGTGGCCGTGTCCTCTCTTGCCACAATCTTGGATGCCTTGCTCTCATCCATCCATCCATACGGGGGCTCCGGCTGCGACTATCCAGAAAGGGCAAGGTCGATGAGGCACTCCACCGCATCATGTCTCATATTGCTGCCACGGCCCAGAGCCTGGAATACTTCCGCAGCATGTACTCTCCCGCGCATCTTGGCAATCCAGGACTTCTAACCCACTTTACCCGTATACGCCACGTGACGATCGATGGCGATATCCATCCCAGCGACCTGCGAGATGTGGCTAAACTCTCTGGTCTTAGACGTCTGTCCATCCCTCTTTACACGTCGCTGTCCAGTGAGCGTCTCGTCTCGTCTTCCATAACGGATCTCCATGTGGAGGATCCTTGGAACGTGCTTGGTGGTTTCTTGGAACGCGCGCACGTTCCCCAGCTGCGGTCACTCCATATCATCACAGAGAGTTCCGCGAAGTCACCACTTGGGGCAGACGCCTCTCAGCTCCTTCACATCGTGGCTACCGTGTTCACGACGCTGGAGATACTGTCCATCGAGTGGAAAGATGACTGTGCACGACGCGTGGACGCCCCCATCCGCGCGCCGTACAGTGCAGGGCGGCTGGCGGACATCACGGAGCCCCTTCTACCTCTGCGCGCCCTCCGCGAGGTGTCGCTGGACTTTAGGGGCTACGACCTCGAATACACGTCCCGAGACGTGCAAGCGCTCTCTGAGGCCTGGCCTAGCTTGGAGGAGCTCCGTCTGAACTTCCGAACGGCCATTGGACCCCGCTCCGGGATAGAGTCGCTTACCCACTTGGCACACAATTGTCCGCACCTACGCATCCTGGATCTGCCAGGGATGGATGCCGCAGACGACGCACTTGCCGCGGCCTGGACTCCTGCGGCCTCGCATCCGAATCTGTACGGGCTTGTCATTGAGCGCGTGGTCTTCCAAGGGATGGACGAAGCCAAGATGTGGCAGTTCATCGCGCGACAGTTCCCGAAGGCCGCTCGACGCGCCACGGTCGGCCCGAAGAACTATTGAGGGCGTTTCGGTTCGATCCATAGACGTCGGTTATCATGCCCCTCCCGCTGCTGCACCTCCCATTCACGTTCCGCCCGCTTGTTCAGGATAGTTTCGGGTTGCGATTTGAAGAGGTATTAGCTCTTGCTCGCAATCCATACCATAATTTCTTGAGCGAGCGACGTGCCCTTCCACCGTCGTCCCGCTGTCCAGCACCTGCTTCGTCCCTAGCAGCGTCGGGGCTTGCCCACGGTCCACATCCCTGCATCCACCCAACGCACACATCTTCGCGAGCGACGACGCCTAGCTCTGGGGCACGGCTCACGTCTCCTGAAAGAGTTCCCAGCCGTCGATGAGCCGACGTTGGCGAATTCGTCCATGGGCGTGTCGGTGTCCTCAAAGCGGCCGACGTAAATATTTCAACTATTGCAGCTCCTCATTAGTTTTCAGGACTACATGCGCGATGTGGTGAGGATGAGATACGTGTACATCCGACGAACTACGATGTTGATGCCAATGGGGTGATGAGTGGAGAAGGTCGTACGCGGTCGACGTTGTGTCGAGCTTGCCCGCCGTGCCGTCGGGCTTGTCGCTCATGTGCTAGAGCATGCGCTTGGGTTTGGTCTTTACCCAGTCCACCTCCTCGACCACGGCCGCGTTTGTTTATGCATGTCCTGCCTTTGATGCTAAGTGAGACCGAGCGCATATAAGAGGGCGAGCGGACGAGACGAACCATCACATGTCGTACATGAGGTGGATACCAAAGTCTTCGTACCGTCCAGCCCTGTCTGTCGCTCGTGGGTAATGACGCTGAAGCAAAGCGAACAAATGCCCAGAAATCCATCTGATCCAATGTTGTGCCATCCGCTGAGACATACAGCAAGTAGGCCCGGCTTCCTCGTCGAGTTCGCAGTCGTAGGGTGATCGTCGGTAGAGAGCGTGGAAGCGCTCTCTGCTGCAATGAGGTGAACCGCGCCGGCCAGAACCTCCCCCGCCGCAGTAGCTGATAGATGGAGCATGGACATCCTCTACCGTTGGCATGTGTTCGAGGGGATGTTGACATTCGATATGTATCAAGATCGAATGCTATCCCCGTTTCCTAAGATCCCTAGAGCTCAACGGTGTCCGTGAGAGTGATGGGCATGCCTACGTACCCCAATACTGCCGCATACATTGCTATGGATGTCGTTCGCGGAGGTGCAGGCGTGAGAGTAGCCCTATGTAGCTCTTCTCCATGCGTTTAGGATATGATGGCTGGTATTGTACCCCAGGGACGTTCTTTCTAGCTAAACATGCGAAGGAAGTCTCGAGGAGCACGTACGTCATAGCGAGACAAGCTCCGTAGGCTTGTTCACGGACGAGGGCCAAGACGAGCAGCGGCATCGATTTGAGGATCTGTGCTGCAGTTCTGAGCCTAAGCTTCGCATGGGATCCAATTAGTGCAACTCCCACACTATATTCGGATGCCAAGGAGTGAGGGACAGCAACACGAAGATGCGATACGGAGGATCGCGGATAGTCTGATTGCAGTGTAGCATACAAAGCAGATGATCAATGGTACTCACCTGGAGGTGCTAGTGTCAACACATCATTCCAAGACGTTCACAATGACCATTCGCAAGACCCGAGGCTGACCAGAAGAACGGTGATAAGGCCTCTGACTTATACAGAGCGCATATCCGTGCCAACAGGTAAAAAGGGGGTACACCAGAGCGAGCAAGACGAACATAGGCGGAGGCAAAGCAAATTTGGAGACTCGGCCCGTTAAGCCCGCCGTCTCGATGCGCCAGGATCCGTACTTGGTCCATTGTGCAGCCATGTCATATCTAGGGGCAAATACGAGCAGCGACGTTGCCTCTCAATTACTTGTGAATGTCCTCTATTCTTCTCCCATATCTTCGAACGGCTGACCGGGCTTCGCTATGCCAATAGTTCCCTTTAAGAGATCCTGTACAGAGGACTCTCAGTCTAGTGGGAAGATCACTGACTGTATTAGGACTATACCTGTACAGAGGACTCTAAGAACCATATGAGTACAGTATAGTATGGGAATAGAAGATGAACATACCTCAGTCTAGTGGGAAGATCACTGACTGAGGAAAGGAAGGAGCGAAGCCAGCACTGTCTACAGCGCTGGCAGGTGGCAGTGCTTGTCTACTATAATAGGAAGGTAAGGTAATCTAATCTAATCTGACACGTCACCTGACCGCATTCCGACACTCCCACTCAAGCGCTGCCTAAGACCCATAGCCCGCATAAACCTCCAGTGTTTCTCTCGAGGTAAGGACCTTTAGTAAAAATGTCCGCTACCATTTCCTCCGTAGGTACCCATTGTATTTCAGCTTCTCCTGTAGCCACCAGATTGTCGCGCAAGAAAATGGAAC